CTCGGTCTTCCTTTCTTCTTGCTCTCTTAATTCTTCCCTTACTCCGTCCTCGCGATGGAGTAGGGTCATAGAAAGCTTCAGTAAGGTACCACTCCCGGACTTTCCATAATAAGACGCATCTCGGGTGATCTGACTAGTGAGGAAACTTCCAGAATCTCCGGAGGACTCCCCTCATATTCTACGGATGCTTCTCGCGGGGGACCATGAGAAGAAATTAAGCAGTCAACGAGTGCCTAGTTTTGCCATTTGAGCTACCATAAGTCAATCATTTCTGTCCATTACAGCCAGCGAAACACGAATTTCGAGTCGTTTAGATCCCTGACTTCGAACGCCTCCGATGCTCTTGAGCAAGAGGAAGATCTCATCTTCTTGTGGATCAGCGCATCGAGGAAGATCTCGGGGATTAGCGCGGTCGAGCTCATTGGGCTCGGCAGCTCACGCCGATGACGATTCACATCCCTCAAACTCCTGTTGGATGATTGCACTAGATGATATGAAGGAACTTCCAGCTTGTGATGAGCGTCAAGGCGCTCTCTCATTTCCCGGAGAGAGGCGCTACTCTAAGCTTTCCGCACCATTTCCGCCTACCAGAAATTGATAGAAAAATTCGCGCCCGGAGAGGAGTTTCGATCATGCAATCGGTAAACATATCGGGTGACTGAGCAGTCTGTTTCGGGTTCTCTCCTCTCAAGTCGATGGGAATTATGACTCATTCACACGTGGCTCCTCGGGAGCGGTGCATCATTCGAATGCGAGCTGTGCGTCCCGTTTCACGATACAGTGCATGCGCGAGGTATCATAAGGAGAATCCGTAGTATCTCCACAACATGAGTCCAATCGATACGTGGCCGGTGAGTTTTCTTGAGAATCCAATGTTTGGAACGATTTCCGAGAGATCGCCTCGGTATCAATCGTCCAACTGATGAGATCCCGAGGACGCGATCAGATACTGCGTACCCCGCGACAGTGACACAGTTGAGCACCGAAGCATTCCAGCGGGAAGCCTCCGAAGTGGGCTGTAGCCCCTCCACTGCTACGAATCATTCGCTATCCCCGAGTTTGGAGCTTCGCGCGTATTCGCGATCGAGAGACGGCTGACGGGGTCGATGCTTAAGGATTTATCGCCCCTCAAGAAAAACACCGAGATTGCCGGGTCAGGCCTGGGGTAGCCCTCCGACGCCTAAAGTCTCCGCTGACCTGAAAACTCACGGTCAACCTTCGATCCCTACATATTCCTTGAGAGGGTCTTTCGTCAGCTCTACCAGAGTCTGCGCGATCGGTGCCCGCCACTGGGCGCACCAGGGATCGTCTGTGGTGTGGTGGTGTCGGTGTAGCACCGAGCCGACGACGGCAGAATCGTCTGCTTCTGCGATGTAAACAATGCTTGCCCTCGATGGATTTCGCAGCAGCAGTACTAAAACGAATCTGACGTGGCTGCGAGAACTTCTCTCCAAAGTTCCGTTCGAATCACAGACATCTGGAGTCTCGAAGCCTCCCGAAGAAAACCAGGAATGCGAGAGCTCCCTACTAGGTTCATTCGAGAAACACTGAGCGCTTTCTAGATGGGAAGCCTACCAAAGGATTACGGTGCTCTTGCTGCTAGCCCTTGTTATTCGAAGGGAAACCGTGCTCTCCTCTGAGTGTTCAAGTTGTTGTTCAATAGGAACGAGCTATGTTCAAGAAGCTCCGTGATAAACTCACGGAGAATGGGAATCTGAATTTCGGGCAGCTCATCAATCCGGTAAGAACCTCAGTCTCCAACTCGATATTTATGGCCATTCACCGATATGGACTAGATGTCACGCTCCCAGTATGCTAAGCAGTTGCTGATCGGCATAAGAAAACTCAACTTCGGTCAAGCTCCTTTCCATCGATCCCACCTCAGTCGTGGAGGAACGATCCGAAGTCCTCGGGAGCTGCGGCTGTTCATTACGAAAGTCCGAACTCGCGTTCGATCGAGTTCTGAGACGTCCTGACTCATGGTATTCCACGGGCCCCGAGTCGTATCAATCCTCATATGAATGATATCGCTGAGGTACTCCAGCCGCGAGCTCCCTCAATCCAGATTTTGACATGTCCACTGTCTCCAGGCGAATTTTCCGGAGACAGCTGTCAGGATCAGCTGATCGTGACTGCCTTTGAGGGCGCAAGCAAGGAAAAGCCCACGTAGTCAGGGTTGTCCGATTTTTCTCTCGTCGGATGCCGTCAAATGCCGGGGAGGTCATCCTGTCAGGAGCTCTTGCGCGTGCCCTGGACTCTGCCGACGAGCACATGTTAATCGTTGCAAGCTGTTTCGATTAGAATCGCGGGAAGAGGAGTGATAGTTCCACCTGTGATTCAATGAATCCGCAACCGATTGAGCAACGCCACAGCGTACGCTGTCGAATCGGAACATCGTATCCGGAGTCGTTGGCTGAAAACGAGGGGAAACGAGCGTCTTCGTCAGATCTGTGCTCGTTTCAGCCGTTGTTGTCGTTGCCGCTGCTGACGTCTCGGTCGACGTTGTTGCTACTCTTGTTTTCGACGTTGTCGACGCCGTTTCCAATCCAATGTCAAGGGTTGGCCCTTTCCTATATGCTTGGTGGTCTCTTCCACCGCTTCTTTTCTCGCGTCGCCGTCGATACATATCGTCTAGTACTTCTCGCCGATGCCGGAAGAATTTTCCTGGCTATCGGTGCCGAGACGCTGTGGTGCATGTTGCGCGGTCGAGCTCAGAAATTTCGTTCAGGGCCGAAGTGCGTCTCTAACGCGAATGTCTTGTAGTCGTTGTTCGTGTCCGAGCTGGGCTGCTACTTCAGACGACAACCCGACGACGAGGTCGCGCAGAAATGGCGCCGCTGAAAAAGATTCGAAAGCTCCTACTCCGTCGGAGTCAATCCACCGTCAGCCTGCCCGCGGGGGAATCGGGTTACTACAACTTTGCGTACGCCTATGTAGGTGACTATTCGCTTTTTCTCGTGAAAATTGATCTTCCTCGCGATTCTCGAGCATCGCGGACCTCATTAACTTCTCACAAGAAACCTACGACAGCTGCAAGACGATGAACGAAAGAAGTGCTCCGGGTTTGTCTCGAACTAACTCGCTGCCATTGCTACCCCGTGTAACCCGAAGCATGCTTGCAGTCGAATTAACAGAGCCACTAATCATCCAGGGAAGGAATCGGAGGCTTTCTCTTCACTGTGGTATGGAGTCTCAGTTTTCGAACGGCTGCCTGCGATGGAAGAACGGTGTCGTGTTCTGTCCAAGAGTCTGTATGTCCAGGAAGACTGGCTGACTGGATGGCTGGCATGTTGATGGCAAGCTGTAGGTGGTCCTTGTCTATGTTGCCGTTCGGACGTTCCTTGCATCTCGGCAGGAATATCGTGTCTTCTGAGTGAACGATCTACGGGCAGGCTAGCGTTGGTACGGAGAACGAGAAGACCGCGCCATACGTGGGTGGACATTCTGGTTGCTATATCTGCCGCGTTCGCGCTTAACTAAATATCGGTATCGAGCTGGATTAAGTTTATTGGACGTGAAAGGTTCTCCGTCTCGATCCTCCGATCTTTCGGGCGCCCTCCGCTTTGTCTGGCTATTCGTTCATCTGATGCTTTACATGAGCACATTTTCTCTCAATAATCACCGTCGGAAGCAGGGTTCTAATCACTGCTGACATCGGAGATTGGAGATAGACGCTCCCTTCGAGACTGCCGATTCGGTCCACACCGACCGAATACCGTGCACGATTCATTAAACATCCACGAGAGCTATTTTTAACACACCATGATTGCCATCTGGAGCCCGCAAGCCCCTTGACGTGATCAAGACACGTAAAGGAGAGCCTTCCTTTACATCTGGTGTAATCTGCGGGGATAGGGATCCTCATCTGAGAGTAGCTTTGTTTCTGATGATTTTTTCGCGATTGATTCCAGGACGATGTGGGCACCGGGAATCAGAGCTCCATCATGGAGGAGGCGTCTCCTCCCGATGGAGCACAGGCAACGTCGTCACCGCGGCAGAGAACGTTGAGTTCATCTTCGAGCGACGCGGCGGTGCTCCCTGTGTATAACTCGCCTGAGCGACCCAGGTGATCTTTCAATCCGACGCAGGTCGGAGGGTTCGATGCACGAACATCCATCTTCCTTGAAGGTGACAGACCTCGAAGTAAACTGTGTCGTACGTTGCAGATATGTGCCCCAGTCCGACACCGAAAGCGAGGTAGAAGGTCCAACAACCATCGATCTGAATCGCGTTTCGAAAGAAGAGATCTTTGCAGTACTCCAACGCTGCAAGCAGAAGGTGGAACGGTACAAAAATAAATATGGCGAGGTGAGACGTACTCTTAGATGGAGGAGAGTATTAGACATGCACCGAGAGTTTCAGCGATTTTGATTAACCGTGCCCCCGCTCCCCTTAGACGGTGAAGGCTTATCGAGCTCTGAGTGAAGAAAAAGAAAAAGTACAGAAAGTCCTCACCGAATCCCAAGACAAAGCTCTAAGACGAATCAACGAATTGCGGGAGCAGGCAGACCTCGAACAGAGAGCCAAGGCTCACCTCGAGGAAAATCTCCGCGTCATCCTTGACGAGAAAGACGAAAAACTGAAGGTCATGAAAACGAAGGTTTGTGGAGAACGGGGGGCGAAAATATTCAATTCAAGGCCAATGACTCCCCTACATCAGCGATTAGCAGCTCCCCTGTGTCTCGAAGGGCATGTTGATAATCGAGGATTCCGATTCCAGATCGATCTCCTGTCGAACAGCGAAGAGGTTGTGAAACCGTTCAAGGAACAGGTGAAGCAGCTCAATCTGGACCTGCAGAGCAAAGAAGCTGACGTCATCATGGCCAAAGAGCTCCGGAGCAAGGCTGAGCAGCAGCTCAAAGAGATCAAGTGCAAGCTTGAAGCTAAGGACAAAGAGCTCCTGGAGACCCGGGCGAAGAGTAAGCTTCTCGAGGAACAAATTGCCAAACCCCAGGTGGTTTCCAACGGGACCGATAAAGCTCACACCGAAGACTCTAAAGCCATCGCAGCGGAGCACATGGAGGCGAAGATGCGGGCGAGTGAAAAGAAGCTCTCACAGAAGGAGAATGAGTTACGGAAAATAGCGAGGAAAATGCATCAACTGAAACTTATGAGCATCACCGAGGAGGCGGAAGAAGAGGAGAACAATTCTCTCGGAGGAGGCTTGGCCAAGAAAATCGAGGGCAGCGTCGATCAGCTCCTGAAGGAGAAGCAAAACCTCCAGAAGAGCATCGACGAGCTCAACAAGTTGAACAGACAGAAAGAGAACGAACTCAAGACCGTCCGGAGCAAGTTAGAACAAGCCAGTAGCGAAATACGTAATCAGAACAACGAGGCGTCGTCTCGGCTTGACGAGGTCCTCTCCGAGAATCAGAAGATCCAGAAAGACCTCCTGGAAGCTCAGGGGAACGCGAAGAGCCTCGCCGAGCAGTTACAAGCGTTCAGGGAAGCCTCGGAAGTTGCCTCACGCAAACTGAATGCCGCGGAAACGAGTTTTGCGCAGAGCGAACAGAATCTGCGACAGATGGAGAGCGAACTCCAAGGACTAAGAGCTGAGGTCGCGTCACGCTCGAAATCGGCTCTAGACCTCGAGGCACAGTTGAAGGATGCAAGTCGGAAGCAATCAGAAATGGAACTGGAATTATCGAGCTTACGGGCGAAAATTGTGCAAGAAGAAAACCTATCGGACAAGTCGCCAGGAGCCGGAGACGCCGTCGACATTGCGAACGGGGAGGTCGAGGCGTTGAGGAAGAAACTTTTGGGAGCTGAGGAGCAGTGCAAGTCTCTCATGGAGGAATTGCGAAGAGTTCAAGCTTCAGGTGAGGACGCTGACGTCTCTGGAAACTCAACTGATGCTGCTCAGCTCAAGCTGCATGAGGTTGAACGACTTCTCGCGAGTAAAACCGAGGCCGAGGCAGCACTCCTGAAACGTCAACAGGAGCTGATCGAAGAGCTAGACGCCCTTAGAAATGAGGCGTCCGAATTGAAAAGCGAGAACTCTCGAATCGCTTCGGAAATGAGCATTTTATCCTCCGAGAGAGAGAAGGTCCAGAGCGAATTGGAAGGAATCGGTGCACTCCGAGCGGAACTGGAATCCGTGAAGCAGCAGCTCGACCTTGAGAAATCCAATGTTGGGGCGCAGACGTCTCTGGCGGAACAACTGGAAACGAAGCTCCGGGAGGCTGAGTCGAGTCTCATCGAATCACAGGAACAAGTGAAGAAACTGACGTCCGATCTCGAGGTCGTTCAACAAGAGAAGCAACGCATTCAAGGAGAATCATCCCAGACTGAAAAAGGTCATCTCTCGAGGTGTGCAGATTTGGAGGAGCAATTGAGTGCGGCCCGGGGCGAGTCTCAGAAACTCCAGGATGAGGTCGGGAAAGTGAAGGAGGCCAGAAGTATCCTCGAGAAGGAGCTCAAAAGCAAACTGAGCAAGAAGGAACAGGATGCTGAGGCCGCAACCTTGAAATGGGACACAGCTCAGAAAGAGAAGAACTCCTTGGAGACAAAAATGCTCGAGATGGAGAACGACTTCGAGACGGAACGTAGTAAACTCAACGATGAAATCCGCTCGTTTACATCAAAGGTGAGTCAATCCACCTATCCCAATCTGTGCATTTCTTCTCCGATTGCGATCTCTGTTTTGAGATAATTGCTCCGATTCTGATTTCTCCCCGACTGACTTTCTCGATCGCGTCCCATCCCTAGGTGGAACAACTCGAAACACTCCTGAAAGAGAGCGCGGAAGAGGAATTGCGGGGTCAGCTCGCCTCCTTGACGGAAGAGTTGGAATCGGTCAGAGCCGGAGCTCGAGGGGCGATGGACGACGCGGAGCAGATGCGACGAGCCGTCGAAACCAAGAGTCAAGAACTCATAAAGATGGTCGACGATTTGGCAGAAAAGGAGCGTCTCATCAAAGAAGGCGAATCCAAGGTACGATCGACGCTTGTGGCGAGATCTCGATCGGAGCTGTTGGAGCGCATCACCGCGGATCAGGGATTCGGATCGGCATCAGTCAATCAAACAGTCAGTCAGTCCGTCGGTCATGATTCGATATAACCTTGCAGATGACGAGACTCGAAGCCCACTACAAGGAATGGATTCGGACCCTCGAAGCGAGACAAGCGGACACTGAAGACAAGTTGCGGCAGTGCGAGATGGAGAGGAACAGATTCAAGGAGGATGCCGATCGTCTCGATAAGATGTACGTCCAACTGGAGACTCAACTGAAACACGTCGAACAGGACGGGAAGCTGCGTGTTGCCGATGTCGAAGCGCGTCTCATAGTCGAAAAGGACAAAATGAAGAGATTGGAGGATGCCAAAACCAGATTGGAGGAGAAGAAATCGAAGCTCGAAGCAGTCATCGGATCCAATGAAAATACCATCCAGGTCAGTATCCATTTTGTTTCTATTTTTTTGCTGTCACAGTCGTTTTAGTCGTACGCATTCCGTAGTGCTATCGGAAAACAGCGCGGGGGTAACGGGGAGCCTTGTGCCTGCTTGTCGGACTCGAAGACGCGGACTAGTCACGAGTTTAGTCACGGATGCAACGCATCTGCCGACCGTTCTCGGATTCGAGCCACGGGAATCGATGAGAGAACTCGTAGAGGGCTGTGAAGTTGACGACTTTTTTTCTCAACTCTCCTAGAACCAATGTACGGCCTCTTCCTGTATTCCTCACGTAAGTTTCGGATGACTTGAATGCAGGTTGCGGAGGTCTCTCTTTTCCAGCACAGCTTTTCGCCATTTGCCGGGGTTTCGCTTCGCTTCTTTAGATTTTGCTTGGTTTGACTTCGACACCGCGGATGTCACCTGAATCGTTTCGTTGATCGGAGCGCCGTTGAAACTCAGAACTTATTCGTCTCATCCTCGTGTCCACAGAAACTGCGGGGAGAAGTCGCCAAGGTCGAGGCTGAGCTCAAAGAGAAATCACTGGAGTGCGAAAGTTGGGAGGAGAGCCTGAAAACCGGCAATGAGCGCCACACGAAGATCCGCCAGGAACTCAAAGATGCTCAGGCAACGATCGCTGGACTCCGTAGCGAAATAGAGGTTCGTTAGCTCGAGGTCATCGGACAAGTCGAAAATTTTCCGCGTGGCCGCAATTCAGTGCCATTCGAGGCCACGAAAACTTCGTGACATGTTCCGACTAAAAGTCACGATTTGAAGTCACGGCTGCCGCGGGGTATCCATTTAGAATTCCGATCAGCCATGGCGTATGCTCTGTCCAAGTTCCTGCGAGTCTCCCCGTCGGCATTCGTCTGAAATGCGGGAATGCACTCCGGGAATGAGTAATCAGTTCATGACCAATCCGTCTCTGCCGCAGGATAAAGAGGATCGACTGCGAGCTGAGTTCGAAGGTCGACTGTCGTCAGCAGAGGAGTCGCAAGCAATTATGAAGGAGCAAGAAGAGATTCTGACCCGACAGCTCAACGAGACTCAGGCTCTCCTTCACCAGAAAGAAGAAGAGCTCGAAAACATAAAACTGTCGCCAGTTCAGCAAGAGAATCTTCAGCTACGGTGAGCTTCCTCTTTGATGTTGGTTGGTGCATCCTCGTGGGAGCGCCGTGAGTTCCAGCCCATTGGTGGGGTACTCATTTTTCTCCGCTTGCAGCCAAACTCTCAAGCAGGTCGAAGAGGAACGCGAGCGCTTACTGCAAGAGTCGAATAGGATGAAAGAGGAATTGGCTCAAATCACAAAGCAGGCGGAGCTTCTGGGCAAAGAGGCTAGAGCTCTGCGGGATTGCAGTGGTGATGAGATTGATACACTCCGGGAGCAGATGGACGAGTACAAGTACGTATACGTGCGCTGCAAAGAGCTCTGAGTCTCCATTGTGGGAATCACTCCCTTCGATTTTATCTCTGAACCAATTGATTACCGTTGCTCCATTATTTTCAGAAATCAATCCATATTAGCCCAGGAGAAGTGCGACGGCTTGCAGAAGGAGCTGGCCGCGCTGAGGAAGCAACTGGAGGAGAGAGAGGACGGTTGGAACCACGACGGCTGGTCTGGAGGCGAATGGGGAACTACCGACGAAACGACCGAGGATCATAGTACGCCCGCGGTTCTAGAAGTAGCCGTCGAAGAGAGTAAGGTCGGAGCTCCGAAAGGACCTCACGAAAGCAGCGATAGCATAGATGCGCTCCGTATGCAGCTCGCTAAGCAACAGTAAGTGTTCTCGTCCTCGATGGGAGTCTGACGTTGCACCGGGGTTGGCAGACCAACGACTCGACGAAGGAATCAACAACACCGATCCGGCATTCGGACACTCGCGACTCATGTGGTCCGTTTTTATCCTTCAGTGATGAGATTCGAGACTTGAAGGCTTTATTGGGCTTGCACTCCCGGGGAGGCCTCATGACCGATATGCCGGGACCCACTGAATACGAATATTTGAAGAACATCATGTTCAATTTCATGATGGGAAGAGAGACGCAGGTGAGTGACACGCTGGACTTAACTCCGGTGTTCAAGCGCTGTGATATCTGAATATATTTCATGAATGATGATTCATGATTAATGATGATTTCTCCCTTAGACCCTGTGCAAGGTGATTGCTGCGGTGCTCCGGTTCTCAACGGAACAAACTCGTCTTGTCACGGAGCGGCATGAGTCCCTTCATAAGGTTTCTGCACTGTACCATCATCACTCCACATCGAGTCATGCCAATAGACCGCACTGACGTAGTTGGGCACGGCTGTTGCCGGCAGGCCAACGAGTTCATTGATCCAAAGAACGGGAATGGCCGACGCATCGATATAGTCGTCGATGCGGAGGACACATTTACCAACTGCACCGTCGGATCTCTCAAGATTCCGTCCACGTATCTGAAGATACAGCAAGCTCTGACATATCATTCCAGCTTGCACTCTGGCTTCGCCGATCAGCGTGTTTTCGGACAGCACCGTGCGGACATTCCGTCGACCTAGTTCGTAGATTCGCTTCCCTCACCTGTTTACTTTATGATTGTCAAGCTTTTGTTCTGGTTCCAAGACTCTGGTGGAATTCACAGCGAAGATGTGCCTCTATCTCAGTGAGAATCTGAGTCGTGTAAATAATTTTGTAAAAAATCCGAGAGCAATTTATACAGTGAGCAAACGAAAATGGTTATGAAATAAAGCTGTTTTGAAGAGGAGCAAAGTTACAGTTTTTTGGGGGACGCCGTCAGTCCTCGTCCAATGGGGCTTGAATTCGATGGTCGGTGATCATGCCTCGTATCTGATGATCTTCTTGATAAAGCCGCTGTCGGCAGCAGTGGTCGCGGTCCTGGAGGTGATAATGTTGCGAACGGGTGAGCGATGTACCCGTTTCAAAATCACGCGGATCGGTTCTCTCAGCTCTGATCGGGGCATCGGTTTTCCCGCGACTAAGGCTCACGCAATCTCGGGAAACAAGACAACGCAAGTGCCGTAAAATAGTGAGGATCTTGAATGAGGATCAAGTCTGGGAAGCCGAGGGCCTCAGACGACTTCGCGGTCCTACGCTGATCTCAACGAATCCTCCCCGAAATCGGAGTTCCGCAAATAAATAACCATGAGATCAGTTATTAGGCATTTCTCGGAAAATGGTCAACTCCCGACTGCGCTCCCTCCGATTGAACAGCTCGGGATCAGACCTCTCGAATGTCTGTGTCTCCTCACACACCAAGCGCCATGCGAGCGGAGGCGGAAGGGGTGACGGGACGGTCCGATACTGGCATCAGGGTTCCTCAGTTTTGAGCTCCAAAATGCCCCCGGAATAAGCTTGATGGTCCGATTTGAGAGATCATCTCCACTCTCTAAACATGATAGCTCGACACGAGGATAGCAGATCAGCATACATCGCAAGACAGCCAAGCAACCGAGTCGAGGCTCCGATGCGGACGCGCGGAAAATCTGCTCCGCCGGTCACAGGGAGCGGTACGCAGCCGTGCCCCGGCATCCCGATGGATGCTCTCCATGACGAGGCATGAGCCTCGACGAAGATTGCTCAATATAACTTTGCGCAATCGATTTGGTGGGATCCCCGAATCCGGACCGTCGAATGGAGCTCCCGGTAGAGTTCTCCTCTCGAGCAATTCCGAGCAAGCGTTCCGGCTCCCGAGGCAGCAGGTCCAGGTGAGGTTGACCGCAGCGGCCTGATTCTGAACAATGGACGCGAAGGCGAAAATGCTGATGCTGATGGACGTCGGCGTATTCTGAGATGGACCAGCCGAAGATCCTCTGGCCCAGGAACAGAATTTTAGCGCCTGTATAGGACGCAGCAGACCTTGCTGGCAAGCGCCTGACCCACACACGCGCAACTCGACTGAGGTCAATGCTTCTAGTCGTTGATGGCGTCAGTCTGATGTTTTGTTTTGAGGAAACAGCAGAACAGCTCGGAGTCGACTTGAGTGAAATTTTCCAAGAAACTGGCGCAAAAAGAGCCAAAATCTTGCAATTGGGTGGACTACGTCAGAAGGTGTGCCGTCAGAGACGCGCTACGGTGATTTTGTGATCCCATTGGTCTTTAATGTGAAATGGTGTGGTGCCCTGTGGGTGCTATGTGAAGCTAGCTAGCACCAAATGTGGATATTGTTGAGGAGCTACAGCAGAAACTGTGTAAGGGGCCGCTGCTGGCCAGAACTTAGACGTTGCGCTGTTTTCAAGTTGGATATTGTGCTATGTGTGAACTGTATCTCTTCGTTGGAGCACCGCTCGAATGTAAGTTTACGGTGCGTTCAGTGCGGTTTACGGGACAGTTCTCAAAGCACTCGGACTGAGAGAAGAGTATCATCTTGATCGTCACTACAAGTTCTGGAGACGACGACGATGATGGCCACCGCCGCCACCAAAAAGGCACTCAGGCACTATGTCGGGCCCTCGTAGCTATCGTTTTGCGTCGCTATGTTCTTCTAATCAGAACTTGCGTGTTGTTGCTCTCATTGTTTTCACTGTTGTGACTAGAGCGATCTGGTTAGGGGAGCTGATCGGAGTATCAGTAAAAACACTGTCGAATTGACAAGTTCCTGCTCTCCGGGGTGTTATCACGGCGCTGCGCTCACGGTGACGGGATCTATCGCAAGATGATTTCTTCGCAGAGATTTGGATATCTGGAATTCGAAAGATCCGTGGAGAACTTCGGTGGTCACCTGCAGCGTCTACCTGGAACAGCGGACAAAGAGCGTCAGCCTATTGGAATTTTGAGATGTGCAACACTCGAAGGCACTTGATTCGTTCTCCGAGTTCTCCTCCTGGAGTTTCTCTCGACAGAACTCTCGGATTAGATATCGGAGAAGATGGATTCGAGTTGTGTATCTTCAGGGATGGAGAAGAGATTTGTGACAATACCAACAACGCCTCCTTTGTCAGCTTCCTCCCTATGCGCTGCGTACAGCTCGTAATCGATGCTTCGGTTTCGTCGTCTTTGCTCGTGTCCGGTGGAATCTTCGAATGCGAATGCACTGATTTGGTACCAATCATACTTTTTTTTGCGGTCGAACGGCTCATTCACTTTGTACGGCCGGCGATCGTTGGTGACATGACGGCGGATTCCGACGTTCATTCTGACGAAGAAGTTACCCAGCTGATATACAACAAGCCGTCCGCAGTGTCTCCTTAGCCAGTGGTGACCTTATTTTCCATCGATTCGGCGCCGATTCCGTCCTGATAGTTACCGTCTGCGGGCAACTGTCTTATTGTTGTTGTTGTCATTTCAGTCTCCACTCTCGCGAGCTAGGGCGCGGTGAAGAGAATATTCGAGTCAGCAATTTAGATTCTCACCGATTTCCACGGAATCTACCGCGGAGAATTCACTCGTGCATTGAGAAAAAATCTTTGGAGCCCTTCCCAACTTGCAGGGTGTTGCCAATGGAGTTCTCAAACATCCAGGAGGCTCGCGGTGCATCGCTCCGGTGTTTTGCGATCTTCCCTCTAGAGCCTCGTATCTCCTCTGACGAAACGAATGGCAATCGAATCTTCGGCGAGGAACTAAATGGGACCCGATGGCGGCAACCGCATCAGAGTCCGGACTGAGTCCGGAACCAGGAGCTTCTTCTTGAGCGATCTCATTTTTTTCGGATTTTCCGACGAATTCCGACATGAATGACGGGAGGGAGCCCGCTGTTGGACCTCGATCGAATCATTGCTCGACACGCACAGTTGTCAAGTTACCTCGAGCCGGAGCGGATCGGCTCCAAAGGGAAAACCTATCGCAACACTTCTTGAAAAAAGTTCCGGAGGCTGCAGATCCACGATGTATTATCGCGCGTTCTCGTCACGATAGTGTAGGTGTGTGTGTGGCGAAATCTCGTGGCCGCGACCTGCAAGCGGCCCAATTTGATCTTGCTTTACGCGTCGTCATTCCTTACGCGGAGAGGCTCGCGCGTTCCGCCTACGAACCATTCCAAGCTCCACAACTACCAAAATTGTGCCGGTGAAGATTTGCTTCTGACCCAACAACAGCCGAAGACATTGAGGTTCTGCTGCTGCTGCACCGCATCGACTCGACATTTTCGGTCTGAATCAGCTCGTGATGGATTGCCTTTTCTGCTGAGAACTCTTCCGGTGAGAAATTCGCGGGAAGAATCTAAGCATTCAGTCGAAGAACGGAATGAGCGGGGCGGCTTAGCGCTCGAGAGGAAGGATCGTCGATTCCATCGAAATGGTCGATCATGGTTGATGATGACCCCCGGTCGATCTCCGAGCTCGATCTCCTCAATCCTCGGAGATAATCGATCCCTCGGCGAACTACAGACGAGGCATCATCGAACCCGGAGCCTCTCTCCTTTCTCTCGGGTCTTGAGGGTCTCTGTTTCTGGAACGCCCCCCGCCCCCGCCAGGTACTCGAGAAAGAAACTCTCCCAGCGGTGAGGCATTGATTTACTCAGGGAATCAAGGATGGAAGAGGATGATACTCCTCACGGGAAATCCTCGAATCCGAATCGTGGCTGCGCGATGATCATCAGAGCCAACGAAGGTCTCTTCAACCTCGGTCGGACGCTGACGCCGCGCTGGTTCGCTTCATGCTGCTCGCTCGGCCGAGTGTTATCAACTCTATATTATCCGGGAGGCTATTTTTTCTATTCTGGTGCTGCACTCCTTTTGGCTCTGTGGACGGCGGGCAGGTTGGCCGGTCGGTCGGTCAGCGCGCCAGCCAGCGGACGGGCTTCGAGGAAGCAAAGTGTTCTGGAACGAGGCCGGACCCGGAGTAGAATATGACGAAGAAACAGGGCATCGGCAGCAGCCGCAGGAGGAGGAGGAATACTGCTCGCAGCCTAACGTCCGACTGTCTGTGTGCCTGTTTGGCTCGCCTTCCTGCTTCCCGGACTGGCTGACTGACTGACAACTGGTGCTACGTTGGTTGAGCGCCTGGCGCGGTTGCAGAGCCAGCAAAGAAACAGCGCTGACCCGCCTCGGAGATTCCTTGTCGTTCGCTCTCCCGAGCGGCGCGCTCGTTCGTCAGATCGTGGGTTGGAGGAGATTCTGGATACCCAGTGGCGGATCCAGGGGGGGGGCCAAGGGGGCCATGGCCCCCCCCGAGAGCCTAAGGTATACATACTATATCGGTTGAGAATGGTCTCAATTGACGACCAATTCCGGCAGTCTGCCCCGGAAAGCTTCATATATCCTTTGAATCGATAACTTTCGCGTCCGAGAAGAGCCCCGCAGACTCACACCTATGTGCAACGACGACATCTAAAATTGTGTTTACGTTCAAGACACGCACCTCGCGTTATCTGCGGTCCAAAGCGAAATCAGTGTTCGAATTCATCGTGATGAAAGATGAAGAGACAAGAAAAGCTCACAAATTTCTTCTCCACGGAACCGGGAACTGTGGCCGAGGGAGACCTACAGACGTCCTCGACTCAACAAGACGGAGCGGAATCTCCGCCTATAATTGAAACCTTGGACGAGTGCGATTCGAATGCGTCTCCGGCCGTGAAGAAGCCGCGGTTGGCATTCGATCCCATGGATATTGGCCGCTTCGTTCGGAAGAGTTCCTCTCTACATGCTCCTTTGACGGAGGAGGAGCGGTTCAAAGCGCTGACAGATTGCTGGAAACCCGATGAGCACTATCAGTTCCCGAAAGTTCTGGAGTCGACTCGCACTCGTGCTTTCCAGCATCATTATCTCGTGAAATGGCCGTGGTTAGCCTATAGCGAAATGCATGGCGGAGGGGCTTTCTGCAAATACTGCGTCCTGTTTGCGAGAGAAACGTCGGATCAGAGAGGGCCCAACTTCCTCGGTGTTCTGGTCGCGAAACCTCTCAACAAGTATAAGAAGGCCTTGGATATTCTGAAGAACCATGAGCGTTGCCAATATCATTGCGAGGCTAAAGGAAAAGCTGAGAAATTCCTCGATTGGTACAACGATAAGGTCGGCCACGACCTCAGGAACCGATTGTTAGCCGCACGAGAAGAGCAGGTGAAGAAGAATCGACAAGGATTGGTACCTATAATCAGAACGATTCTTCTCTGCGGGAAGCAAAATATACCATTTCGAGGTCACAGAGATGATGGGTCTCTTAGCGCCGTCGACGGAAATAATAATGACGGCAACTTCAGAGCTCTGTTGCGGTATCGACTCGATGCCGGGGATCGGCTTCTGGAAGAACACCTCAACAGCGCCAAGAAGAACGCGACATACGTTAGTCATACGTTCCGAAACGAGATCATCTCAACGATTGGGAAGATCATACGACGGAGAATTGTCGCCGAGGTCAAGGTCGCCAAGTTCTTGCCGTGCTAGCTGACGAATCGAGGGACGTGGGGAAGACCGATCAACTGACCGTGTGTCTTCGTTATGTTGGCGGCGAAGATAATCAGCACGTTGTCAAAGAAGTCTTCCTCAAATTTTCTGATGTGGAAGAGAAGACAGGGTCTGGGTTGGCCCGCAGCATACTCGGTGTTCTTCAAGAAGAAGGACTAGACATCCGGAACCTCAGAGGTCAGGGTTATGATGGCTGTAGTGCGATGAGAGGGTCAAACAAGGGTGCGCAAGCCGAGATAAAAGCCGTCGTTCCTCAAGCGCTCTACTTCCATTGTGCGTCTCGTTGTTTGAATTTGGCTTTGGTGCACTCCAGCGAGCTCGCCGCGATCCGATTGGTAGCTGGCTCAGTGGCGAATGTATGTGCATTCTTTTCGAACTCTTCAAAACGAACGAGAATTCTACAAGATCAGATCGAACGCTCGAACTCATCGAATTCCAGAAAAAAAGAGACTCAAAACATTGTGTATGACGCGTTGGGTGGAGAGCCACCAGGCTTTCATAGCTTTCAAGGAGCTTCTTATACCGATCGTGCAGTCGTTGCTGGAGCTGGAGCAAGAAGTTGGTGAAACCGGAGCTCGCTCCTACGAACTTCTGAGCGCGATTTGTAAATGCCAGTTCGTGACGTCTTTATTCATCATCGAGAGTTTCTCATCTCTTTTTTTGCCCTTGTCCGTGAAACTTCAAGCGAAGGAGCTTGATATTTTCGCGGCACTTGACTTAGTGGACAACGTACTCCTTGTCTTGAGGCGGAGGCGAGAAGCTGCGATCGATGGATTCCAACAAATTTTGGCTAGAGGTTACAGAGGTTTGCGACTCCCTCGAAATTGATATCAGAATGCCACGCATATGTGAAAGACAGCTCAACAGGGAGAATCATCCCGCAGATTCAAGTGAAGAGTATTTTCGAGTGACGAGTTACATTCCGTACCTCGACAGCTTGATCGATGGGTTTATCTCACTGTTCGCGGATGCGAGACAGGGCGCCCTGAAGGTCCAGTGTTTGATACCCAAATTTGCAGTGAGAAGCTCTGTCACGGATCTGCATCCAGCGATCGAGTTTTACGAGTCCGATCTAAGCTGTAGTGTTAACGTCGCAAAAGCCGAATTCGAAAGGTGGCGCGCGAAGTGGATGGAAGTCCCGCAAAACGGAGTGCCTGCAAGCGCCATAGATGCACTGAATCACTGCCCCGCAGCTGATTTTCCCAAAATCAATATCCTCTTGAGAATACTCGCTACATACCCAGTAACCACCGCTTCCGCAGAACGTACTTTCAGCAGTCTTAGATTGCTGAAGACGTATTTGAGATCTGTGATGGGCGAGGCTCGCCTGAATGGATTAGCCTCGATGAGCATCCTACGGGGCATCGACGTCGATCCCGAGGAGGTCATCGACTCCTTAGCTTCGAATGCGAGGAAGCTAGATTTTGTCTTGTAGCTGAATCGAGCGAAGCTTTGTGCTCGCTTTTTATCACCTGATCGTTGTGCCATATAAGTTAAACTTCATTTCACGTGATTGTAATGCGTGAATCCAGCTTGACTGGATGAATCTAGTTCTAGGGCTGAGTGAAACTTGAACAGTCGAGCCATATGACCGAATAAATGTGCTGCTCGGGAAGCAGTTCATAATATAAACTCCTAAAGTTATATTAAGCTATTAAAGTTTAAATAATATGCTCCCAACTCATCCATCCACGACCAGACGGGGCTTTGGCCCCCCCCGAGAGAAAATCCTGGATCCGCCCCTGTGGATACCAGAGGAAGCGATCGGGGAGGAAGCGAGGCAATCAACAGTCCGTTCGAGCGGCCAGGCAAAGGGACACGAAGGGAGGGCAGGAATGAACCAGGGAACCTTGCGGTGACTGCGACCGTCGCTCGCCTAGACTCGGGCCGACGCCAGCGGCCTGAGATCGGCCGAGAAGACTCTGCTCGGTCGACTCGTACCGCGGAGACCCTACTCCGCTGCTTCAGATTCTTTGCGAGCGGACCAGATAGTTCTACGAACAGGCGGTCAGGTCGCCCTTTGGATAGAAGGACGAGGAGGAGGCAGCAGCAGCAGCGGGGTCTCCTCGTTTCGTCTCGTCGCCGTAGGTACATCCATTCGTCGGTCGGTCGGTCGGTCCGTCCGTCCGTCGGATGCGCGGCCTACCCGCCGCCTGTGGCTGCGGTCGGGGAGAGCATCGTTCTCGGGAGAGAGCCAATCGCTTCCATACTTGGATCATTGCTGGTGGTGGATAGCGATGGCAAGAATTCGCCGCAGTCAGAGGACTGCTTTCCTCGCTGGTTCCCGAGCGCAGCGTCGGTCGGTGCGTCCGATCCTTTCCCTGTATGGAAGAGGCCCAGGAGAAGACCGACGTTGGCTTCTGTTTACAGAGACACTGGTAGAGAGAGAGAGTCGCTCTTAAGACTAGTTGTTGGATAGACGGACAGGACCAGCGAGCTAAGAAAGTAGGAGATATGGAGCGTTGGAGAGAACGACCTTAGGAAAAGACAGCCACGGAAGAACGACGACGACGACGAGCATCCGATGAGGAGCCCCATCAATGGAGCAGGGCCTCATTTCCAGCTCGCTCGCTCGTTCGCTCGATGGCTCACCGGAGGGAAGCGGTGAATCCTTTCCGGAGAGCATTTCACCAGAGAATGTTTGTTCTTCGACGTTCTGTCACTCATGACGAACGGACGAACACTCGGACCGTGGCGATCGCCCTCGTCGTCGTTAATGTTGTGATTGTGGTTACTGGTCTCGTCGTCATCTCCGCCGACGTTGACGTCAACTGTCAACTACATACGATCCAGCGACAGAAAGACCAATTCTACCCCTTTGCTCCGTCCAGCCAGTCAACCAACCAACCAGACAGACACTCAGTCAGTTAGACGGGAGTCACTCATTGCCTCATTCGGTCCGGCAGACAGTCTATCCATTCGGTCCATTGGGCTCGAAGGACGTCATCGCATCGATGGTCGGTCGCCTCATGCGCCGGCTCTGCGAACCGGAGTCCTCCTCCTTATTCCTTCATGTATTATTTTTGAACTGCCGAGAGCGTCTCCGACATCATCGGGTTTTTGCCGAGCGGCGGACTGCCTCCGGCCGGCCGAGTGACTACTGCCTGCTCGTCTGAATGAGTGCCTGGAAGCAGGGCAGCCAGAGTGACGGCCGGCGCGGCCTCGATCTCACTGCGCCATTCTACCTGACTTGCTTGTCGCTCGCTCATGGCACTTTGGCGCGCAGCTATTACGCGAGAGACTGTTTTCACTTTCCATCCGCGAGCATCATAGCTGACTGACCGATAGCTATCCAGCCGAGTGGAAGATCACCGCGCAAGCGGCCATCTTCGTCCGGACCGCGCCGGAACGTCGAGAACTAACTACGACGACAGCACCAGACGGCTTCAAGCGCGACCTTGGCGGCCGAGCCGGTGCCAGCTCCGGTCCAAACACCGACAAGCACTACGGGAGTGTGGTTGCAGGGATGGTCGGATGGAAAACTCTTCATTGAAGAGCTCGGATGATCGAGGGAGGAAACGTTTTCTCCCCCACCGGAATGGAGTCTTCGGTCAACCGCAGTCGGCCCAATCCCATGACGCAGGGCAGTCCGCAATCGAATTCCGAATATCGGTGTACGCCGAATCAGTTTTCGAAGAATAACAAGACGAACTCTGAAGGAGCTGTTCCGAACGAAATGCCCCAGTCGAGGAGCCGATCTCAGTCTTGCAATTTGAACTTCAGAGGTTCTCGAAGATTTTCCTGGAACGGATCCATCAGATGATCGCGACGGTAGCGCGAAGTCGGGCGGAGGAGCGCGGAAGCTGAGGTTTTGGTGCCAAAGTTTTAGGAAGCTCAGGATTGCGAAGGAAGGAAGCCGGTCGGCTGGCCAGGCGACCGGCCCACCGACCGACCAGCTCCGATGTTCGCAACCCGCAACTAGCTCCACAACAGAATCCGCAGCGGTAGAATAAGCAGCGGCGACGGCGGCACCGTGAGGTTAGGCCATTGCCCTTTTTGATTCTGGCAGTGCTCGACGGTGCCACAGCCGATGGAGGCAGCGGCGGTGGCCGTAGTAGTGGTAGTGCGCAGTGCTTTTCTGGCCGGGCTTTTCCTCCGTTCGCTTTTCCGAAACACCAGCGATCGAGGGCGTCAAGCCAGTCAGCTGAGCGCGCGCGGATCCATGATTTGAATTTTTTTGTCCGTAAATGAATGACGTCGTCATCGGCGGCCGACTCCTTGTCCGCATCGATTTCCAGCGCTCATCGATGATCGGAGGGCTCATTCTGAGAGCGTCTGCATTCACAAACGAATTATTCTCTCATTCAATGAGGAACTTCGTGAACGGAAGTTCTTCGTATCGGATGGAGGCTAACCGGAATGGAAGGAGACGGGGAAAGCCAACATGGGACGGCTCTGCCAGCAGATAGCCGACCCTGAATGCCTAGTTTCGGCGGGAACCGAACACGCACGATGTCGGAGCGCATGCTCCGACCGAGAGTCGAATGTCCCGAACCCTGCTCAGAAAACCAACAAATCTTCTCGGAGCTTGTGACCGATCTCTCCGCGTACGTCCTGTTTCGGTTCCCTCCCTCTGACTCCCCCACTCGTCCTGCTGCTGGCTAGCCTGGATTGCTCAGGCGGGGATGCGGCAAAACATTTAAGACCGCATCTCAGAATTGATTCGAGCGCCGGGTGGGAGAGTAGAAGCCCGGGGTCTGATTCAGCGGCGCCCAGGAACCAGTCTCGAGCCGATGGTGCACTGCAGCCTGGGACGACGACGAAGTTGGAGAGATGACTCCGTCCGTTCGGGGCAGCTCGGGAGATCTTGGAAGAACAGATCGTTCTCCGACCCAGAAGCACGAAACACCCCGGCTCGGGTCTAGCTGTTTCTCGTCTACGGCTGAGCTGCTCGGATCATCGATCGAGCTCCGAGAAGCGGAGTCTGATTCTCTATCGCATACAGTCCCGCCGAAAATCGATTGGATGATTTTACGGATCCAGTCTTTTCTGGAGACGATTGAGCCGAAAGCCAGATCGGAGGATCGCTCTTGAGAGCAATGCGAGGAGACCGTCTTCCAAGCTTGTCCCCAGTGGTTGCGGTTGGTCGGTCGACGCCTCCAGCGGCACCGACATCGTCAGCTCCCTTATGGGGAGGTAGTAAGTTCTGCAAAGCTCGACCAGAGGTGGATAATGATAATGGAACAAAGGCTCAAAGCCTCCGAGAACGGGAGAAGAACGGCTGCCTGCCTTGCTTCCCTTCTTTCTTTCTGTCTGTTTGTCTGTCTGCCTGGTCGACTGCCTTTCTGCCTTGGATGGATGCGTGGAGGGATGACTGCCTTGCCGTGGATGTTCGGAGCTAGATAGGTCGATGAACCTTGAGCCGACCGAGGAGAAGCCCTATAGACCGAAAGCTACAAGCGGACGAGCGAGCGAGCAAGCAAGGCAAGCCAACAACTATCCAATCATCATCCAGGCAGTCGCCAACCGAGCGAGGGAGCCCGCTCACACAAGGAACACGTAGAAGAAGAAAAACGCTCGGCTGACGCCCGCCCGCCCGGCCGCCCGGCGGCCCTGTCTGTGGACCCGCTCGCTGTCCGGCCGCCGGTCGGCTGGCCTGGCTGACGGCGTGAACGTCATACATGGAATGAACCTTCACATCTCATAGATAACTAAGTGCAGCGCTTGTCTGTGAGCTAGCGTCGTCGGCCACGCAAGTCCGTCGAGCGGCGCCGGCCGTCGTTAAACGTGACGAACGCGTGTTTTTCCAGAATCGTCGTCCCTCACCTTAGGGAAACGCGCGCTCTGGAACTTCCTCGCGTATGTCCAGACCACCACTTCGGACTCTCGCGCAGAATGGGAATGCCAACGAGAATGAGGTGTTGTATGACGGTCGACCTAAGATCTCGAGAAGGAACAACCCCCTTCCCCGCGGGGGTTCGAACGAGCTCCGGGATCGTTGGATGGAGAATCGTTTTCGATCGTTCCGGCGATTCGTTCGAGCTCAGGATTTTTCGGGAGCTTTCGATATTTTTTTCCGCAGTACCGGTCGTCACCGAAATCGTATTTTCCAGCGGGTTCGTCTTTTCCAGACTCGATCGAAAACTTCGGGGGCGACTCATGCATGGATCGTTCTCCTAATACGTATCGTGGCTGTTGTCGGGAAGCATTCGGAAAGGTTCCCGTCGCTGCGAAACGACCGCCGCTGTCTGATGGCAGGATTACTATTCTGGGTGAGTGGGATCAGGGACCAGGATTTTCTGGTGCCTTCTCCCCGCTCCCTCTGGCGGCGATGCTCGAACGGCCGGCGGACCGGCCATCGTGGTCAGCCTATCTGCCGCCTGCAGCCTACAGACAAGCGCGACTAGCAAGCTGAGAGGCTTCGGGCCGGATGCGTACCTTAGCGTGCCGTCATGACGCTGCGGCGGAGAGGTCAGTCCTCGATTCCGTCGACTT